GGATGGTATATATATATATATATATATATATATATATATATATATATCTTTTTTTAATGGATGGATAGATAGATAGATAGATAGGATTTTAAAAGAAAAATTCTATAATAATCATATGAAAAGGATGACAATTAGTCAAATCGAATCAAAGCTCCATGACAGTCGTAGTAAACGATGATTTGAATCGTATTTTTTTTCTAATTATTTTGAAAAATATATTGAAGATAGTTTTTGTATAGAGTTAATCACTCATACATTGTAAGTATAAAAAATTTTTACACTGACAATCAATCATATCTTTTAATAGTGTCATGTCATTTGCTTATTTAATTAAATAAAAATAAAATAAAATAATTTAAAATATATTATTAGTTGTCAGTATAAAAACTTTTATATTGACCGTGTATGGATGATTAACTCTTTTGTATATATTTATTATTCTAATTTTGATGTGTCAAAAATCTTCCCTAAACCATATGTTATCTTCCATATTTCACAAATTTAAAAATTGCAAATGTAATTTAGAATAAAAACATGAAATTTAATTGTTCATTGGTGGCACCTACTTTTGCAAATTCTTTTCCATATTCATAAAGAAATTGTAACCAAAAAAATCAAAAAGAAAATGAATCAGGTGACCCTAAAGGGCTCCTGATTTCATGCAATTCACCATAAGTTTCACCACTTCATTTGCATCAAAAATTATATTTCTTGATCCGTTTCAGAGGATACTGGTACTGCACTATACTCTTGTGCCTTGGGGGTATGATTGCTTTCCCTCCTGGCTTAGAAGATGCATTGCCATACCATATCATTCCCAATATTGCAATGAACATGCCTAAAATTACTTGTAAATTGAGACCTTCTTTTCCAAAGAAAAAGAATCCTAGGGCCAGTACCAGAATAGTCTTCATGTGTCCTAGAACTTGGAATGATACAGCCGTGAACCTTCCAATGCAGATGAATTGGCTGAGGTTTGTCCCCACTGCGATAGTGCAAGACGCAATGATGAACAACTGCAGACAGAAGGAGCATATTAGTTTAATAACATTTTTTAAAGTTAACATTAAATGCCTAGGATTAGAACACTCACAAAACAGTAGGAACTGATAATGTGCACAAAGATTTTTAAACTATAGTCGAACTAAACATATTCTACAAGGAATCAAAACACAGAATGAAACTGAAAGTTGTTAAAACAAGTAGTTTAACTGAGGTTTTTAACTAATGACCGAGGTTCAATCTCTATCATAAGTATGAAATAGTAACTGGAGGCACCACTTTAAATCAGTTATGAAATTCACAAGATAATAATTAACACTAGCTATATGCCAAAAGTCAATAAAGCTTAAGTAGCATTAGCATTTAGAAAGGGAAACTTACCGTGGATGTCAAACCATAGTTGTAGGCATCAACTCGTTTGTTTGTAAGCCAATAGTCCACAAAGGGACCTACTAGCAGTAAACTTGCTGCTTGTACTGGTGCAGTGTGTCCCAACAAGTTAAATGATCCAAGAGAATACTTCCTCTGAAGAAAATGCACATACTGCAACAAATAAAAGTAAACATCAGCTTAAAAAATTCTAGAACATGACATCCAGATAAAACAGGAAGAGTTAGAATTGGAATGATCTGACATAATTTGCACAAGTCCACACAAAACATGCATCTAAAATCCGTGTTCAAAATCCAACTTTACAAAGAAAATTTGCTGCAGCCTGCAGGCTTTCCATTAAGCTGAGATGTATTATGAATAAATTCTTATATACATGAATGTTGGCAACAAGCATCAAGCACCTGAAAGTGCACATTGATCAATTCTAGAACCACCTTTATGACAAAGAATTCAATTTTGATCTACTGATATCTACCAATTAAGATTCAGGGTTGGTAGTGTTGGTAGTATGTTACTTACATATTGCTGCAATGAGGTGCTCCAAACTGCCACTGCAGCAGCTATGAAACCCTTAGCATTGACACTCACATCAGTGACTGTACATACAGCTACGCCAAGGAGAACTAGAGAAATGCTGAGCTTTGTGTCCCTTGAATATCGCACATTGTCCAATACAATTTCCAGGAAACAAGATACCGGAATCATGCTCAACTTAGCAATCTGAAATTTTCATTCAAAAGGAAGGAAACACTATAAATACCTATTTTGCCACCGGCAGTATTAGATTTTGATACTTTTACAACAAAGTCTAGATGTTACCTGATAGAAACCAACGGAGTTCCACATCAAACTCACATTCATTCCGACAATAGAGAAATTTGCAAATAAGACAAATTTGATAAGATCAGGTAAGGGAAGATGAGAGGTTTGGATATATCCCAGCCACTTAAGAATGACTGTCAGCAAGGTCGTTGTGGCAAAATGCAGACCAGTTAACGTTGTAGCTGCATAATAGTATATGATATACAATGTCAAATAGTTATGGTAGAAACCCTTAACATATTTATTTTATTTTCTTCTCCTATAAGTACTTTTTGAGAGTTTTATCCGATCTATCTCTAACTATGCTTTATCTGTGGGGCACAATCACAAGAAAAAAAAAGTTTGTGAGAACTGCACAGCATCGGCATATCATCTGAAAGCATAGCACAGATCATTAGCCTTCCTCATTTTTTATTTCTATCTCTGTTTTTATCATACGTAGTATTGTTGTCAATATATGTCCTCAATTCAACTACCACCCTTAATATATTAAATACTTCTTCCAAATCCTATAAACAAGTTTATACTGCACATAAGCACTAAAAGACAGACTCAACGAATCATTTAACTGAAAGAAGTGAACCTTTGTACAAAGAAAATAGACTGAAAGTGGAGCAATTCTAATTATCTGGGATGGAAAAAATCATGAAACTCTATACATACCAAAGCTGAAACCATATGTAGCCATGAGGGCTTTATTCACAAGGATTATTCCCACAGATGTGACTATATTGAACATCCATGATGCCACATCAATTGCTGTCTTCCTATCACCCTTGGTTGCGGTAGACATAATGTATCACGAATTTCAAATCCAATGACTTTATATGCAAGAGAAGACATGTCAACAGGAACTAGTTAAACTTTCTTATGGATCCCATTAAAAAAATAAAGAAAAGAAAAGTCATATCTAGGCTTAATTTGTTTGTTTAATATTTTCAAGAACAGTTTTCTATCTTCTAAAATTTGTTTGTCCTGCATGTTTGAATGTATTCATCTCATGAGCACGTTTCTGTTTTCTAAAAAATTGTTCTTTAATCACCTGAACTCTTGAAGAAGCAAAGCAGAAAATATCTTTCAACAGTTTCAGTTTCAGTTTCTCTGTTTTAAAAACAATTTTCATAACTTAATAGAATTTGGAAAAGAAACTGATTGATTAGTAGTCTCAAACCAAGTTTATGAACAAAAATAACTTATTCCTCATGTCTTAACAAGTAAAATTATTGGAGGTAAAATGTCTCACATAGGAACATAGAATTTATAAAACACATAAGAATGTTTGCATTGGTATGAGATTTTTTAGATTAAATCTAAAGTGGAAAATATCATACACACATGTACGTGAATCATGTGTGAACATCCGGTGCACAGCAAGGAACATGAAGATAAACCTTGAAGCTGAGTTCACCATAAAATCCAACACCCTCAAGCAACTCAATACACATATAGAGAGAGACAAATAAACCAAATAATAGTTGCCAAAAATGAAACCAAAGCAGAATAACAAAATCCTCATTAGATCCATTACTCCTTTCTCTTCATAGCAAAATCCTCATTAGAGTTAAATCATGGAACTGCAGACAATGATAATATTAACAACGTGAATAAAAAGAAACAGTAGGTGCGTAGTTGTTTTGGAAATTACCAGGTGTGCTAGGTTATGTTGTTGAATTGAAACGGTGACGTAGAAGCTTGTGAGAGGAGCAGAGGAAGAAAATGAGAGAGAAAACAAGTTTTATAGAGAGAAAGACAAAGAGCACTGCAGGTCGGTGTTTTTGTACTTTGTGTTAACGTGCGTATGCTTTTGTATTTGTAACGCCGGATTCAATCATAAACCGCGTCAGGGAGGGAACCAAGCAGGAAAAAATATCATGTCATGAACAACAATGGTCAATTTTGTACACACCACTAAGGTTGCATTCTACATGGCGCAACAAAAAATTTTATGTCTTAATTATTGGTCGTATGAAAATATCTATGCATTTTACATGTCTTTCATCGGAAAAATTATTACATAATCTAACATCATCACCGCTATATCTAACGTAAAAAGAAAAATTAAGTCTTAATAATTTTTTAAGGTAACATTAATTATCATTTTTTATTTATACTTTTAATAATATTTTTAGAAAAATATTACTGTATTGTATTATTTTTAATAAATAAAATTAATAATATGTTAATTTTATAAAATTATTATTTTCTATCATCTATTTATTAATTTTATTTTGTATATATATAATAATTTAAAACGATACTTATTAAGATAAAATATTTTTTAAAAACAAGAAAGTAATGTCATTTTTTACATGTTTATTATTAATAAATGTAATAAATAGATGAATAGTGATACATGTATACCTATGATGTTTTTTTTTTTGTCTATTTTTGTTAAGACTGTTTTGTATGTACTTCTAAACCATTCTTTTTCTCTCATCATTTTTTTTTCATTTAGTTTGCATTCTTTTTTTTCTCTATTCCCTTGGAAATCCTTTTTCCAAACCCTATATATTATCTAATCAATCATCTACTTTATTATTTATGTTTTTAGGTTTTAAAAATAAAATAAGTGCCTCTTTCTTATATAATTATAATAAAATTATACAATATCATTATATCTCTCAATTACTTCATTTATTACATCTATTAATAGTAGAAAAACATGCACACAAATGTTGTGCAAGTATCATTACTCTAAATAAAATGGAGAGATATGAACACAAAAAGTATATATAAATTTTTGTGCAAGTATTATTTCTTTTATTTTTACATTTTTTGTATAAATATTTAAAAAATAAAAAATAAATTAAAAAAATGTGACTGTTTTGTAATTTAAAAAAAAAAATAAAGTAAAAAGCCACAATTGTGTGATGATTAGTCAGTATACACACATAATGGTTGAGGATTATGTAATAATTTATTCAAATGATGGATGATTGTTACCTTAACTTTAAGGATAGTTTGAGGGGAAAATTTGATAGCTTGTCAGAAAAATAATTGTGGTTGTGCTTGCTAGCCAGTAATTTTAATTTTTAAGAGTGATCATGTTTATGGGTCACTTTTATTTATGCAAGTTTAGGAGAGACATCACTCGTGGATGAGTGCTGAAAGAGAAAACAAACAAAGAAAAAAGACGTAAGAAATAAATGATTCATCAAAAAAGTTTTTTTTTCTTTTCGGGTTTTGGATAATTATCTGTATAATCATGTGTGTGAAATTAGTCTTGAACCTCAAAGAGGTGATCAATAAAGTCTTCTTTCCATATGAACAAACAATAGAATATTAATTGTAAAAGAAATATGTAAACCAATTTAAATTGAAAACTTCCTTCTCTTATTTTGGTGTGAGGTTGGAGCGTTGGGCAGTGCCATATAAGGTCACTTTTCAGGTCATTTTCTTTTCCCATTATGCCTTTTAATTTTGTCCATGATGTGTTTATTAGAGAGGATGAATTCTTCTGTCCTTTTTTTTCCTTTTTCTTCAATTAAATTGGGTTTTCTGATGGTTGAAAAGAAATTTTCAGACAGGTTAAAAATAAAAATAAAAAGTTACAATGTATCAATCATGAGATCATCTTCATTTTCTTTTTGGTTTTACATGCATTAATCAATGCAGAGGTTAAAACCCTTGAGAAGAAAAAGATAAATATCTCTTGTAAACAATATTTTGATTTTGTATAAGATTGAAATAAAGTCATCGTATTTTCTCAATTAAATTTAAATTAGGTTGGTAATTTATGCATTACAGGGGCAAGTTTAGAATATATAATTTTGTATGTTATAATTTTCTAATGCATTCTTTTATATTTTAAAATTTACATAATATATTTTTAAAAACTATTATATAAATATTTAGAAAACAATTAGACACATTTATACACAAACAATTATATATATATATATATATATCTCCTCTCCCTTTTCCTCTCCCTTCTATATAAATTCAACATTCTCCTCCTCTTTCATTCTACAACCTCATTCTCCCATGCACCATCCTTTAGTATGGCCTACCAAGTACAAATCCAAATCAAGTCATTGTTCAAGTCACGATATTAAAGTTGCTCTATTTATTTAACAAAAAAAAATTGCTCTATCTCTATCTTTTAAAATCAACTCTCCTTCGTTTGTTATATATATATATATATATATAAACAGAAAAGGGAGAGAGAAAAAAATAACTCCCTCGTTTTTACTCTTTTATAATAAAATTTGTCTTATTCCAATTAGAGTATTATTTTCCATACACAGATTTATTTTTATATATATATATATATTGTAGTGTAATGTCTTTTAAATATGAAATTTATAATTTTTTCTTTCACATTGTTGTGACTTTAATGTATTTTATATTATTTTGAAACATTTAAAAATATATGTTAACTGATAAAAGTATTTAAATATTAATATATACTATGAATGAAAAAATATATAATTAAAAAGTAAGGCCTCACTAAAGATCATATAATTCATGATAAAAATTAATTGGTCACCAATGATAAATATTTTGTATGTATAAATTATTGGTAATCCAATAAATAAATAAATAAATAAATAAATATATATATATATATATATATATAACACATGTATCTTTTAAAAATATTTC